CCTCTTTTTTTTTTTTTTTAACCTCTAAGTCAACCCCTAAGCTACTAAAGCTGTAGCCCAATTTTTTTCCCCTAAGTACAGTTTCTGAAGGCGCAATCAGGTTCTAAGTGCGCTTACTAAGGAGGTTATCATTACAAACCTCTGCGATTGTAAGGGTACGAAGAGGCTTCTACAGTATCTAGGCACCCCAGGAGTAAGGGCCCGGTTTTAGCGTTTAGGGTTGGAAATTCCGAAGCCCCTTACGCTGCAAAACCCATGGTGCACTGGCAGTTGCAGTGCGACGATGCTGCAAGAACAATCTCTGGCCTTGGAGGGTGTATAGGTTATAGAGGGGTAATGGAACTGAAAATGGAANNGGTTACATAGGGGTTATATGGTGGTATATACGAGTTTTATATAGTAGGGATAGTGGAAAAGAAAATAAAAGCTAGTATGATGGGTTAGGGTTTAGGGATATACATAGTGACAAATTCCATCACCTCCTGCTAATAGTGACGACCAGCCGCCACAACCTCCCGCACCCCAAGCCCTTCCTAAGCGTAAACCGTAAACCCGAGCACCAGCTAGAACAACGGAGGTGGAGTCTTCTAGGCTTAGGGTTTAAAGTTCAGGCTGGGGTCTTCCAAGCTACCTAAACCCTAAACCCAAGATCCCTAAATCCCTGAAAGCTTAAACCCTAGACCCGAATCCCTAAACCCTAAGCCCTAAATCCCCCAGACTACCACGGAACTCCATCTACCTACTTTAGATGGCAGGTCATCTTGATAGGTTTCGGTTTGGGGTTTCATGTCACTTGGGGGAGGGTTTGTACGGGGGGGAGGGGGCTGAAGTTCAGAATCAGATGGTTTTTGGCTTCGGTTGGGGTCTCCGGGTTTGAGTTTAGGGGCGTTTTTAGGCAGTCGCCTGGGCTATCTGCAAAAGTTGCAACTGGCATCGTAGAACCGCATTAATGAATAATCAGAGCTGAATTTGTTGCCAATATTGTGGTGCTAGATTTCGTGTATACGCGTGGTGTAGGATACCTCAAACAGACCTCAACATGATATTGGTCATGATTCAGGCCGCTGCAGTACACCCTAAGCCCGAGGCTCCCAGAACCTGGCCGGAATTCAGAGAAATGCGGGTTTCCTAAAATTAGGGGTACCTTTTTGGAAGGGCCCATGATAAGATTGTAGTATCTTGGGGTCTGTCATGGGGTTTCCTTATTTTGGGAAGCTACCAAATAGCCAGCATCCCTAAATTTCCTAGACTAGCTGCTTCACAAGCATTACAGTTTCTCAAAGCAACCCCTACATGAGCTATAGTCTAAACTCCTTCAAGGGGGGGTCGTAAAGGGGAGTATATAGGGGAGAATTACAAGGATTTGATAGGTGGATGCTAGGAGTTTAGACTACAGCTCATGTGATCCTAGAGGAGTAGACCTAGGCTCTCCTTTCTTCTCACATCCCCCTTAGTAACCCCGTATATTACTCCCTTATATAATCTCCGGGGAGTTCAGACCCTAAACCCTCCACCCTAAACCCTATCAAACCAGCATTTAAGGAGTTGAGACCTTAAACCCTAAACCCTACACCCGATATAGCTCCCTTTAAAGAGTGTAGACTAGAGCTCATTTGGTGGCCAAGGTTAACGTCATGTGGAGGCAGGTTCTCCTGATTGAAGGTGCACGGGACAACCTTCGGGCTTTGATGGTTCCGGGTTTAGGGTTTAGGGTTCTTCAAAATGGGGCAGACCCGTTCAATAGCGGGGTGGGTGCTTGTACTCCTGGTCTTCCGGGAGTATCAAGGGGAGGGTGCGGCTTGCACTCCTGGATGTTGCAGGAGTATTCAGGGGATTCTGGAAGATGAATGGGGAAGGGGATTGTACTTCTGGATTCCGGAAGAATTATTCCTGGATTTCGGGAGGCGGTTTGTAGTCTTCTGGAGGGGTTGGGGGGTGCATAGAAATGTGGGTATTAAATCATGAAGCTAATAGTAGTATTACTAGTAGTAAAGAGAATATGATGTTGTCGTCGTAGGCGCCCCCCTGCCAACTATGTTTCCTTGATTGCGCATATTGAAGCCAAGGAATTAAAAACTGGGGAAATTTCTCATTTCGTTGAATGCCAGAAGGCTTTGTACTTTCCAAATGCGCCTTGATGCGGGAAGGGGGGGTGGGGTGGTAGGGTAGGGAGTTGGGGTGTGGGGGCTAGTGACGTCAATTCGAAGAGCGCACTTACTATTGGCACTTACAGCATGTTTGATGATTTTGCGTCGCCGGGGCACGTTCCACCACTACCCTCTTCCTCCTATGCTCTTGACAGCCTACCCCTGACATTTTAGGGAAATACTCGGTGGGGTGGAGGGGTGCGGCTGTCGTCGTTGTTGTCAACGTCGTCGTAGTAGTACTAGCAGTAGTAGTAGTGGTAGAAATAGTAGCTACTAGTAGTAGTAGCAGTAGTAGGAGTAGTGGTAGTAGTAGTAGTAGTAGTAGTAGTAATAGTAGTAGTAGTAGTAGTAGTAGCAGTAGTAGTAGTAGTAGTAGTAGTAGTGTTAGGGGTAGTGTTAGGGGTAGGAGTAAAATTTGTATTATTTAGCCCTTATTTCTACTAGCATTCTTAGTATTATTGTTCTTAACATTATTATTAGTATTCTAGTATCGTTACTATTCTTAATATCAGTAAAAGAAGTAATAGTGGTATTATTAATATTATTGCTATTAAATTAATGATAGTCTTAATGTTCTTAGGATTATTCTTGGTAGTATTGCTATTATTAGTGGTCTCTTTAGTACTGAGTGGGACATTTGGTATGCGTCAATGTGTGCGCCACCCAGAAAGTCCTGCGTCAACGGCCACCACGTGGAAATGTAGAGGCAGATGTCGTCCAAGATTCAAGCACACGGACGCGTGCGTGCGTGCTGCTACAATGAGTGTGCTCATGCTCGCTTGTGTACGCGCGCAGAAATGTACGCAAGCGGTCGACAGGTATTTATCCCAAGATGCCTATGGTTCTATTTACACACAAACTGATGTGCGTGTCCGTATACATGAGTGCATGAGTCAACCTGAATGCATACGCGCACTGACCTAGACCCCCCTGCCGACGTGCAAACATGAGGAGGTGCAAATGGTCCTATGTAGAGACCTGAATCTTCAGCGATATACCTGTGTGTGTGTGCGCATACATGCGTGTCTGTGCACAGGAGTATACGCCCTCAGCCGACGCGTGTTGTAAATGAACTTCATTGGGCATATTGAGCGGAACAGTACGCAATTCTTGTTCTTGGGGCCAACCCTTTAGCCTTGCCTGAGTCTGCGCAGTGACTTGCTTACAGCGTTTGGGGCAACTCTTGCTGTTGCTTTGATGCAGCGTATTGCTTGCGCATAGCTTGACCATAGCAAGACCATGCAGCTATCTTGTTACGGTGCCCAGATAATGTTGTTCTAGCAGATTCTGTGCAGCTTGCTGCTTGTTGAATGCTTCAGAAGTCGATGACTTCGCTCTGTATTAAAACATTCTGTGCCCGTGCACTCATGATCTCATGATGTCTGGCTGACGCAGGATTGGTTTCCACCGTAGACATTGGCTATACAGTGTACAGGTTCCGAGGCCATGAAAAACCCTAGCGGTGTCAAGTCCTTCCCCAGCCCCAAGCCTGGGCTACTGCGTGTTGTCTTGAGAAAGCCTGCCACGTCCATGAAGAAGAAGAAACCAAAGCGTGACAAGATTCTGTATGTGCCTCAGGAAAAGCAGCTGGATGATTAAGGAAAGGCAGAATTCCGACATCAGAAGTGGTGTTGCTCTCTGATTGACTTCGCGCAGTGGTCTGAGAAGAAGCTCGTTACCTTTCTGTTGTCCACGAGGCTGCTATGGAAGTTTCATGTGTGCCCGCGCTGCAAAAGGGGCAAAGTGTCAAAGCTTATTCAGCACAAAGATCGTGGGTGGACGTATTGCTGCAAGGCGTCCAGATGGCTGAAGTTTGTGTTTACCGCGCGCTGAACATCCTTTCTCTTTGCTTGCGGATGGGGGCGATCCTTCGTGTCTCTTCGACAGCAAGTACAAAGGTGCTCTTTTGCAGCGCTGCTCGATTCTGGTAGAACCCAAATCATCACCGGACTTGGGGCAAAGATAGTGCAGTTTTTTTCGTCGCGTTGGCGAGAGGCACTGATCTCGTATGTAGAAAAGCGGCAGGGTTCCAGATGCTTGGAAATCTGAAGACCTGGGTTCAGTTCTTCAGTTCGAGGTTCATGAGGTCGCTAGCGACGTGGTCACAGAGTAGCCGGGCACCAGTGCCTGGGATTGCTCGAACAGGGGAATCGAAAAAGTCTAGTCTAGCGCTCGTACAGTTGAAAATCAATACCTTGCTCTTCCAGCGACCTGCCTAGCTGATGTTTGTCGGTTCTTGCTGCAGAATCGAATGCCTGCAGTTTCACCAATAGCTGCGGTTCCAATGGCAGTCGTACTCATGGTTCCCATATGGACCGTGTTCGAGTTTGATGAATGCACATTCCATTGTGAAGTACACATACAGGAAACACAACAACGAGGTGCTTGCGAAACCGCTTTGTACCAGAATATCCGACACAAGTGTAGTAACCTGGTGAGGCAGAATTTGTGCCTTTGCAGGCAACTCTTGTGCTGCGACAACGAGGGCGTAATGTGCTCTTGCCCATTGCCCATGTAGGAATGTGGGATCATTGTGCAGGTTGCTGGTGAGAAGCTTCAGGCACCTACTGATTCGTGTGGCGAGGGGCTAGCGTGCGCAGCTTCATTATGCAGAAAGAAGCTTTATCCCACAAGTCTTGTACAGTTCGACTCCGCTTATGCAAACGCAGGCGTCGCAAATCTATTGAATGGGGTTATGCAATCTGCGGTGGATGAAATGAAGTTTGACAGCGAGAGCACCTGTTTATGTCTCGAAAATATGATTTGCGAAAAGGTTTCACTCCAGTGGCACCGACTCTGTGTGCTTGCCTTTAAAGCTAAAGCATGTCGGTGATGATAGAGGGCTCGAGCGTATCATTTTGACACAAGGCGCTGGTGTGCCAGTGTTCATAGTCTTTGAGGTAGTTTGCTTGGCTACGGCCATGCAAATCTATGCGTAGCCAATGAGCTTTTGGAGGTTCCTTGCGCTACGACCTGAGCTGGTAAAGAAAATATAGGAGTGTGCACATGTCTGCCATGTACACGATCACAGTTGAGGACTTGAAATTCTGATCGACCATCTCAGGCCATTGCTGAGAAAGCGCGAACAACATGCGATCAGCCGCGTGTGACCTTCAGTGTGCCTGAGCGTGATATCCTTGCGCCTGCGCTGCTGGCGTTGCAGAACACCCGCAAGCAGAGTACTGCTTGGCTACTCATTCTCCATGCTGAAGCAGATCTACAGCGCGCTCTAAATCAAGAAAGACAAAATGGCTGACCGTGCCATACTTTTCTCTTCCAGCGACCTGTGGGGGCTGACATTTGTCTGTTCTTGCTACAGGATTGAATGCCCACAGTTTCACCAATGGCTGCGGTTCCAATGGCAGTCGTACTCATGGTTCCCATATGGACCGTGTACGAGTTTGTGATGAGCACGCGTTGCGTTGCGAAGTACTCATACAGGAAACACAACAACGAGGTGCCTGCGAAACCGCTTTGTACCAGAATATCCGACACTAGTGTAGTAACCTGGTGAGGCAGAATTTGTGCCTTTGCAGGCAACTCCTGTGCTGCGACAACGAGGGCGTAATGTGCTCTTGCCCATTGCCCATGTAGGAATGTGGGATCATTGTACAGGTTGCTGGTGAGAAGCTTCAGGCAACCTACTGATTCGTGTGGCGAGGGCTAGCGTGCACAGCTTCATTATGCAAAAAGAAGCTTTATCCCACAAGTCTCCTACAGTTTCGACTCCGCTTGTGCAAAGACAGGCGTCGCAAATCTATTGAATGGGGTTATGCAATCTGCAGTGGATGAAGTGACGCGTGGCAGCGAGAGCACCAGTCTATGTCTCCAAAGCAGGATTTGTGCAAGGTGGATGGGGCTGCGCAAGCCTGCAAGCAACAGCGCATGCTTTTGCTTGAATGGGCAGAGGTGGCAATCAGCAATAGCTATCCTAAACCCTAAACCGTAAATAAAACTGAGCCCTAAAGGGACACATCTAAGGTTACAGCTGCATTCATGCCATTGCACGCTCACTCGTCAGCATGTGGTGGCTGGAGCTGGCAGCGAGGATTTGTACGATTTGTTCCGCCCATGTACGTGGATGTGTTGGTTGGCTGCTTGGCGCACTAACTCAAGCTGGCAGTCTTGACTTGTATGTACGATTTGTTCTGGCAATGTGCGTGGTTCTACTGGTTAAAGTTGGCCACGACAATTTCTATGGTTTGTTCTAGCTATATGCCCGGATTTGCTGGCGAAAGCTGGCAGTAGGGGTTAGTACGATTTGTTCCGGTAAGGTTCCTGGACATGTTAGCTCAAACTGGCAGCAGTGATTTGTACGATTTGTTCCGGCCATGTGTGTGGATCTCTTGGGTACAGTTGGCAATAAAAGACTTGTACGATTTGTTCTAGCTATGTGCCTGCATTTGTTGGCTACACCTGTCAGCGTGGATTTGTACGATTTGTTCCGGATATGTACGGGGATGAGGCAAACTCATATCTACGA